AAAAAAGTGACGGCGTCTCCGACATCGTTGAAAAATGCTGCACGAAAAGCTTTGCTCGCTGCTAGACGTGTGATCATCAAGAAGAGTCCGATGAGTGTACCTCGCATACTAAACATCCCGAAAAGCGGAGGAGTGTTGCCGTTAATTCCAATTTTTGCCGGTTTGTCAGCACTAGGTGCACCAGCTGGCGGAGCTGCAAACGTAGTAAAGGTTGCAAGTGAATTCATTCGTAATGGACGTACTGGTGTTAACGTGGGTAAAGGACTGTACATTCGTCCTTACGGATCCGGTTACCGGATCGAGAAGAAGAAGAAACTACAAAAAAGTCGCTCAAAACAGAGAGTGAAAAAAAACTAATTCCGCTGCTACCCAATCGTGCATTATACGATAATGAAATAGAGCATTTTGCTCGTCATGTGCTCGATCCACGTGTATTTCGTGGTGTATTTTGTCGTGACACATTACCACGTACACAACCACATACAAATGAAATGGGCGTGATCAATCTGGACGTTTCGAGCAATAGCGGAACACATTGGGTAGCATACAGTAAATTTGGTGAGCACGTTACGTACTTTGATAGTTTTGGTAATTTACAGCCGCCATTGGAAGTGTTACGGTATTTTAACGGCTGTAAAATCACATACAACTACAGAAACTATTAGACTTTCGACGAAACAAATTGTGGACACTTGTGTTTAAAATTTCTTATAGAACAAAAAAAATGTCATCCAACACAAAACCGTCATCGATAACCGTGACAGGTAGGGGATCACAAATTGAATGCCGATTTCATCCACACATTGACGTTGACGATAACTGTGAAATTGGGCTGTTGAGCTTACACACTTGGAACATAATTCCAAACATTGATGAAACTAACAATATAATCGTTTTTGGATTGCCCGGTCAGGAACCCTTGCTGAAAGTAACACTGCCCGTTGGTACGTACAAATTGGAAGACTTGAGCAAATATATTGCCAGTCAGTACGAGAAAATTTCCTTTGAATATACAATCGTTGAAAAATTTAAAGATAGAAAAGTGACCTCGTCGTTCAAAATCGTAGTGAACCACGTGACGATGCATTGCGAAATAATGTGTGAACATTCCATTGATTTCTCACATGAAAGATCATTTTGCCGTTTATTGGGTTTCAATCCTCGGTATTTGGAACCACGTAAGACTCATGTATCGGATTATCCAGTGACAATAACACCGATTACGTCTATTCGAGTGGATTGTAATATTATTGTGGGTTCGTACCACAATGGAAAACAATCACACACCTTACATGAGTTTTCTCCCAGCGTGCCACCAGGCTACCGCATTATAGAAGTTCCCAGGCAAATTGTTTACTACCCATTGAACACAAATGTGCTGGATACGGT